GTCCTCACAGATGACAAACCTTCTTCTGTCTCTCATCCACAACGGTGACTAATTCAGCTGAACTACGTCTGAGAGTAATATCTACCGAGACAGATAACCAGTGAAGTAGATCAAACGTGATCACAATAGTGCCTGATGGGAGACCTTTAACCAATGGATTGGGTTATGCAGGTCACGGTAGACTTTCTGGCTGGATACCTCGGAATCTATTCACAACGTTTTCTATGAGAAACCTTCATCTATCTTCTCCTGGCTACTGCTCTCTCCAGTTTACCTCTATTCTACTATTTTTTCAACCAAATAACCGAAACATTACACCCAAAACCACCATCGCCGCATATACAAATACGAAACGATTGTTTGTGCAAATTGACCTTTAAACTACTACCAAAGTAACGATGGTACGCTTCGGAGTCGATTCTGTCACAATACTGAGACAAAACTGACTGACAAAACTTTTGCCAGTTTTTAGTCAAAACAATTAATCCTGTCAATTCAAAATTCAAATCGCATTTCTTGAATTTACTGTTGCGGTTATATAATGTTGTGTTCCTACTGACGTTATAATTCCAAATTGTGTGGTATCAAGATGTCGCACAGCATTAACAGCGATTAGTTTCCTCATATTTTAGTTCGCAATGAGGAAGAGAGAATTCACTATGCACAGTGATAGATGAGAGTGCCGAGCTTCGGGTGCAGATTGACTAAGTCTGTAACAAGCGATAGACAGAGTTAGAAGAACGGTGATCAAGCAACCGAAAAATGTCAGCACTTTAAATCTCTGTGTGTCACAAAATCCATTTTATTCACCAAAAAGAAAATTTTCTCCGAAGTTCTTCTATTTAGATGAGTATTAGTAAAATTTTCCTAACAGTCCAACAAAAAGCAATTTCAAACAAAAAATTGAGTATCAAACAAGCTTGTTTTCAGTGATTTGTAATCATTCCAATATCTCAAAACATATATCACTAATTAGGGGGGGAGATTGTCTCGGAGAAAGGGAAATTCATATCACAGAATACTATGTTTGATTTCATTTTGAGACCAAAAATGAGTACCACACATTTGTTTGTTCATTCTTCCAATTATCGAGATAGCTTTGGATGTGGAGATGTGGAAAGAGGACCAGCGTGGATTCAGAGTCTTCACAATTGTTTGAGGGCACACAGACGGGAGTGATTTGGACGGATTGCTATCGCTTCTGTTGTGGCTAGTCGGGGGACAGTGATAATCTACGAGCGGAATGCCTCGGTCACGATGACAGTATCATCAGTTTCAGCTAGGTGTGAAATCATGCGACTGGTGAGTGACTTCATGGTTCCGCTGTTCAACCATGTTCAACGATAGACGCCTTCAGGCTGCTGTACGCTTCCCATGTTAGACCAAGACTTGAGTACGATGGTGCGGCGACATACCCCTGCATGGTCGGTCAACTGGCTAAGTTGGAGCGTGTACAACGTGCTGCCACTAGACTCGTTGTTGGACTACGCGGGACCAGCTATGAAGGTCGTCTACAGGATACTGGTCTGTTCCCAATTGCGTATCGACGCCTCAGGGGAGATCTCATCTGCCTGATGAAGATCCTGAGAGGTGATATGGGCCCGGAGCTGCAACAGTACTACCCTTTACGGACAGAGCGCCGCACGCGGGGGCACTCTCTCACGTTGCGGAAACTTCAGTCAGTTGGTCTTCCGTTAGTCTACCGACTCTCGCGTGGGTCAACAACACTCTGGAATTCCCTTCCAGCTATTGTGGTGGAAGAGAAGACAGACGCTGCTTCCAAACGGCGTCTGGATGAACACCTGAAGGGGCTATAAAGGAACGAACACTTGTGATCGGACCTTCGACCCAGTGGTGATGGGGCTTACACGGGCACCCTGCTCTCTGTCCTCAATCCTGAAGACTGAAGACTGAAGTTCTCGAATCCGTTCAGAGAGCCGCCTGGTAATGCGACCAATGTCCGTTGTTCCAAAGATACAAGTGAATAAGCATTCACATAATGAAACTCCACATCCCGACTAATCTCAATAACCGGACAAATGAATAGACAAATAAGACCATTGTGAACCTGCTATCCAGTCTTAAAGTGAAATAAATCCTAGTAGTCTATGCTGTGAGATTTTCCTTCCTCAAGGATATTTTCTTACAAATTAGTGACGTGTATTGTGATCTACTGGCATGAGTAGGAATCATTACAAACGAGCTTGCTTGTCACTGTTTAACTGGTATTATATCAGGAAAAAGGAGATATCACTCACTAAGAAAATAACATGAGACGATCAGTCACGACCTGATATGTACTGCTCGTAGCAAATTTCAGTCAGTTGGCTATCTGAGATGGCAGACGAAACGTATGAACAGTTTTCAGTTCTAAGTTTATTCCATTGCAAACCTATGACGTTTCTACTACGATTCCTGACCAAAGCCCTACAAAAACTACTTTTACGTATACCGGTATTTCTATCTGAAAACCAAAAGATTACACGCATTCTGACTCTAGACGCATCGACCTACAAGACTGGTCGGAATCTCCATCTACCAATTGACTGTTTGGAAGCTGTTTCATGATGCGTGCTTACTATCCTCTGATTTCTTTACAATATCACCACATTTGCAATGCATCGATTCATACAGGTTACATGTCAATGAAGACAAACATTGGATCACACTCACAAAACCCGCTAAGATCGACGAACGAAACGCTGCAAGAAATATTTCGCAACCCAGTGTACATATCCATTCTCTCTTGTTGCCGGAATTTGATACTATTTTCTGTTCATTGATCCCAGAGACCCAACCCGTATTTGTTTCATCTCAAACACAAATTATTCTACGGTGAATCATCACCAGTACGGAATTTTGCAAATTTTGTCCAATAAAGGAACGACAAACTTGATGATGATCTTCATCACGCCTGCAGTTCAACGCATGGTAACCTGTCTGATAGGTTCTGATTTTGACGTGACCCAAATGTACTTATGACCTAACAGCTAGGTTTGCGAACCAACCCTTTTATTCACAATGCAATACAATATAGTTGACACAAATGCTTTATTAAAATACGGTTTTGAACAGACAACTAGGCTCCAACCCATGGGTAGCTTGTTGAATGGTTGAGGTAACCCCCGATTTGCAATTCCTCAATTGGTTTCATTAGAGATTTCAATTTAAGACATACAATAAAAGTAGAATGATAAGGAGACACACAACTTTATATTGGTATAGTAAATCAGAAAAACGTCGTCATAGCCAAGTAAAAAGTGACTGATCCAGTCTCGAAGAAATACGGCATATCGTATCAGACATTATTACCGTACGCTCAAATCCTATCACAGACTAGCTTCAGATTTGAGTCAGGCAGTGATGATTCTGGTAACATCACCAAACTATCCCCCCGGAGGACATGTGTTCAAATTCCACACCACCGCTTGGCTTTCCATATTTTATGTTGTATTCCGGCCCTTTGATTGGCCGTTTCCTCCTTCCGGTAGTGATAAACAAGTGGTTAGGTCACCAACTTGTGACCTGGAAATCCCGGGTTTCAACCGCCCTACCGCCGCCCGTCTTTCCTAGTTCTGTCTTTTCCGGGCAGCCTTTGTATGGCTGCGGCTCCCTTCCTGAATGTACATTTTTTATTCAGTAAATGAAAAAGGAATTAAAAAACATTTTGTTTTTATTTCCTGAAAATTTTGTCATTAAGTTTTCAATAAGAGGGAGTAAAAATGTAAAAGAAACGAAACCGAGTTCCTTGACAGCACTTACTTGGCCGCTCCCCGCTGTTGAAACCTGGACCGTGCTATGAAGTGACTCATGACAACAAGCGGGTATGTTCGAACAGAGGAGTAAACATAGTCGGATTTATGAAACGTCAAACCTGTTAAACATTTTTGATGTATACCGAATTACCTGAACTATGCGGGATCATTCAGAATTCAACTAGAAAAATGACAGCTGTAAACTGCTCCCGATCAATAAAATATGCTCTGGCATGTCATGCACGTCACCATTAAAATATGGCGGTATATCAAACAAAATCTGAAAGAACACCCTGCAAGGTTTACAAGGAGTGGTCCAAGAGATGATAAGAACTCAGTCACAACTTTGTACAGTTGACTTTCTGGCACACAAAATGGAAACGCAATCTGGGAATACCTTATAGCTGATTTGTTCAGTATTTGCCTCTATGCATGTGTGCAGTGCGTTGTACTTAATGTGACACTGTGTGCAGCAGTTTGCAAGTAATAATACTAACTGTATGGTACCCTAGCGCTAACTGCTACCGAGACAACGTAGTCATTCCTGTGGGCAACCAAACTCCGTGCTTACNNNATTACTGTCATACGAGTTCGGATTGACGAACGCCTCAGCCACATTCCAACGGTTAATGTCGTCAATATTGAGATCTCATCCCACACAGGTGTCGCGTGTAACTCGATGATGTGGTATTACGGGAGAACGGAGGAAGAGCATTTGGTGAACTTGAACACCACGTTTGACTGCCTCCGTAAAGTTGATGTAAAGTTGAAACCCAAGAAATGTAACCTTAACGGTTCTCTGCCCTGTGTATTAGTGCATGATCGTTCTGCTGTTAATAGTATTACGAATAAGGTTAACTCCGTGAACTCATAACTCAGCCAAAATTGTGTTACCAATTGAATTATATTGTATCATTGTATAACTAGAACCTGGACCGTTACTGCAGTTGCGTTGATTGTCATTCATGGGACTCTGCAACTCCCGACATCCAAGCAGGCAACTTACTCGCAAAGTGAGCTAGCTGCATATGAATAGGATCAATGTTTTGGAAGCGGCTATTAGTCACTAACCCCTAGGCTGTATAATGCGTTCGAAGAACTCTGGCTAATCTCTCAGGCTGCTCTTATTCCCAAAATCTGAGAAGACAGCTTGAACTTGCACACAGACACAGGCGTACTTGCATTCATAGGTGCGGATGAGAAGCTCGAATGAAAACGAAAGATGAACCTTTCGTTTAATAAATTTGCATACATGTATGTACTGAAAAACTCCACAAACATTCGTCTCTTTTCCGGAACGGATTGTGCAGAATGGTTCAACGAACCAAAGCTGTTACTGTTCTACGGGTTTACACACACGATACACCAATCTGTCGCAGAAGTAGATCTTCTTTCGCAGCTGCCAGAAATCTAAACACAGGCCGTGTTCAAACAAAGAACTTGAACCTCCGATGAAAAAGCATGTCAGCCACGGTATCAACTTACCAGCTCACAGTTTTCGTGTCTGCACTGATTTGATTCAGCGCTGAAGTGGCCTTGATACGGATCCCATAATAATGGTATTTCGAATTTCCACTTAGCATTTATTGGGAAAAAAGTGTGAAACAGCAGTGTATAAGAAAAATGGATTTTATAATCAGTGGCAGATTATTAAATTCAATGAAGTGACAATTTGTGGACTATTTAGTTCGACAAAGAGAAAGGATCGTAGTTAAGATGATCATTAGACTTGTGTAAAATAACTACTTTGTCAAACCGTGTAGTTCAAGTGTCAATAAATCAATAATTAGTATTTCGTCTTTCTACATCATTACCATAGAGATAAATCGAATCCCCAGTTTGAACGGTAGTCATCTTATGAAGGCCTCAGTCGAAGGGTTTTACCTTCGGCATATTCGATTTACTTTGATTGATAAACCTATTATGCCTGTTTGACACATTATTGATTGCACACCTTTGATTGGTGGTCCCAAGGACCTGCAGTTCAACCGTGGAAGTCGCCAGTCTGATCCCCGGGACTTTGAGTGACCAACTACGTGAAAACTCATCAGTACTGAAGTGATGCTAAATCGGACTAAAGCGAAAATAGCAACCCAATACACAAATACACAGATTTAATTTAAATTCGAAATGTGCACCAACTTACTTCTCCAATGTGAACAATGTTGGCAATGGCTTGTTCTTCCACCTTAGTTTTTGAACTGGTTCATATTTTTGTGTATTTTAGTTTAAACTGATTTAGTCTTGTTTCAGTTCCAATGGGTAAATTCATTACTCACACAATAGTATAAAATCTGTCCCTGGTTGTTGTTGTTTCTGGGCTTCCCAATCACGAAGGTCCAGGTTAGACTAAACTAAAAGACTGATAGAATTATAGAAACCGGAACAGTTAGTTATCGTGAAAAAATGCGTAACTGAACTGGCATCCCTGTTTACGACAGAATCATATTAAACAGTGTCTCCAATGATCAAGAATTTTATTCCTTCAAATCTGAACATCTTTCCATCAAAGCCTGTCTCCACAAGCATCGTACGTCAAGAAATTCCATTCAATAGCAAGCAAGAGTCACGCTTCGGCAATCTCCTGAGTGTCCGACCGTAAAAATACCTATCATCACTCTGTATCCAACCTCAGTTTTGTTTGTCCCATCTCACTATCTGACTCGTTCAATGCTATGAAAACGGCCGTATTCGGACACCCATGTTCTTCGAGTGCATTTACGCAAAAGAACACAAAAATACAAGAATAAACAATCCGTCAAACACAAGCTCACCTTTCCTGTTCTACATGTTCGAATTACTTCCACCAATTATTCACAGTCTATATTGGTCCACATTATGCCTATTCTGTCCCTTGTCACTTATTTTCGAATTGTGAGACAAATAAAACAAGGTGAATCAGCTATTCGATGCAAACAAACTATGTACACAGCGATGCAATGTGAGTAGGAATTTGGGCAATTTATGGTGAATATATTTGACGAGAAATATGTACATAGTATTTGTACACTTACCGCGTGCCCAATCGACGAGTGCGTAGCCCGACAAAAATAGAACGAATTAGTTTGCCGAACGATGCCGGATTCATTGGTTCCAACCAGTGTTCCAAACAATGACTCAGATAGTGTGAGTAAAGTGCACTGCGTGATAAACTGACCCCGTCAGCCGACTCGTAATTTTCCAAAAGCCATTGCACCTAAACGTGTGTGAAATCCGATAGCCGAGAGAAAGACAGGCAAGTCGAATTGATTTATCATCATTCATACCATTATAAGCCTAGATCAGTATCGTGTACACTGATGGATTCACTCATTGTTAGTGGGATGGGTCCCATATGCTAGTCGCCAGTGCAAACACGATCTACAATGGCTCGAGGGAATAGAAATGGAATCACTTTTTCATATTTGAATTCACTGCAGGTGTTTCATGTTCCGTTGAAATGACTCATTCCATCCCGTTAGGAGTTATTGACCGCATCGGAGTGCGTGTGCGTGCGTGTGTGACTTAAAGCGGGCACATATGTGTGTAGGTTTATATACATGTGTGCGTGCGCGCATGCGTGCATGCATACGAAGGTAAGATAACTAAACCCTCAAAGATGGGATCTGACTTATCGTGAATAGGGAAACTGAAATACTTTTAGGCGGTGAATGTTTGGAATAGCTCATTCGGTTCTCACAGACACCGGACCCTGTTCTTAGGTGTAGGTTTCACTCCTGGGGAGATTGTCAATTCCCCACTAGTTAAATGCTTGTAAAACGATGAAAATCTTTGTGATAACCAACAAAAAGCACTGCACAGCTGTTTCGAGTTGCTTGAAACGGCCTGATCAGTTATTTATTGGTCAAGTTGGCAGGATGCATGAGTTCTGCCTGAGAGGCCCCGGGAGTGATTCTAAGTTGGGGTGATAGATTCGCACTGCTGCCCAGATGCAACCAGGTGAAAACAGCTACCTTTAGCTTTTCGGTTCGCACTTCATTTGCTCTCTACAAGATAAAATTCTCCAATGGATAAAATTCAATCCTCTCTTATACTCTTATTTAGATTAAAAAATAAACCTTTCTATCCAGAAAATATGCCAACGTCATTTCTTTTTGTAAATTGTTCACTGAGATTACGGTCAATCAAAAATTACAGTAATATTCGACAAATAAGTAAGCTTCCTAACTAGTCTTTGCAAAGGTATATAAAGAAAGGGCATGACATTAGACCACTTATACTTTGCTTCGAAACCTCTGTACACCTTTCCTAATTGCTCCTGACCAATGTTTTATCAACTTATATTCTGCCACTGCCTCAGTCTGTGTTTAACTCTTTCTTCAGTGCAGTAAGGGAAGTATATGCCTTAGTATTTTAATTTACTTACCTGATTAAAACTCCGGAGGTATTCTCAATTGAATTGAGATTAGGACTGAAGACTGACCACCAGAAAATGTAAACCATACGGATATTCAATCATAATACATTCATTATGCATGATGGATATTGGAACGTAATCGCGTTGGAAAAACAATATTCCAACCATCTTCGTTTAAATGAACGGCTAAGTGAAGTGTTCCACTATGTTTATAAAAGCGTTTCGAATTTCGGTTACCTTATTGAAATGCAAACTTACACAAATAAACCTAAGAAAGCGCATCTCGGACCATATCCGATCATCCATCGTTATGTTGCCGAGTGAATTAAATTTCTCCCTTCCTGATATCTAGCCATTACTACTACAAATTATCCGATCTGACCAGGTAGGGTATTTCTTCTTCACTGTATACCACTCCCTTCGTTGGTACCAACTAAAAACATGACATTTGGAATAATGTATGTATGTTCTATTGGATTTGTCCACATAGACAATTATGGGTTAGTTATCAAAGTGTTTTAGCTGTTAGTGTACCTTAATGTGGTGAGTCAACCCTCCGAAATGACGCCAACCAAGCGCCTACGCGTTCCATTTTCTAGACGCAGACCCACGAGACAATTGTATCGACCAATCAACAACCAGACAGTTCAAACAAAAGCCACGTTACTCGATGAACAAGGACAGCAATTGGTTGATATACGTTTGACCAATGATATTTCTATTTACACGTCATTTAATCCCATTGATTTTTTTCAATAAAAGAATCATTAGTTCTGTGGTCTTTTTCCTACGTCTCGGTGACCGGAGATTCGAGTGAACGATTGCTAGTGCGGTTCTGTGCAACAGTTGCGACCGTGATTTGTGATCCGTAATCCGCCTCCAACTTCGATTACTACACTTGTACCCTCCCTTGAAGCCTCATTCGCGGAGAAAGTATCAATACGCAAGTATGCCTGGTTATGTGTCAAATAAAAAACCAAAAGTTGTTGGTTGATTGTGTTGCAAAAATATAACACAACGCGTATTTGGGTAATCCGGTGGAACTTGTCGCACCCAAATGCTTTATTTATTCTTTCAATGATCCTGGTGACCCATTCATTTTTCAAACAGAAACCAAATAGACTCATTTAGGATACCACCAATTCCTCATTGCATCATGTAATGAAATATTTTAACTTATCTGCAGAATCTCTATTGCACATTCTGCCTTAGTCTGTTCATCTGTCTTGGACTCGTAAATTGGAATGTGTTGGTTGTTCCAAGCATCTTCTGGTGTGACCGGTTGGCTACTTTTCAAATAGAACTATTAACATATGGAACGCAATATCACGCGAACCATTGTTTTCAATGATTCATAACCATGCCGTTATACTTTGTAGGAGAAGATAAAACCTAGGAGTTGAGAGGATAGAATAAAAACGTGAGGATTGGATAATTTTGTGTATGTGTCGTTGACATCATGCTTGTCCACAAGGCGGTGTGTCGAAAACCACGTTCTCAGTTCTGTGCATCCGGGATTATTCAGTTATGTCACTTTGATCGTGGAACCGAGTTCTAAGGGATCGGTGTTGTTGTGTGAAAATGTGTGTAGGTAGGAGCAAGGGTTGGTTTCTTGAATCCAGGGAAGATGGAGAGCTTGGATAAGACGCCTCTGAGCCAATAGTTCGGGGGTCAAATGTTTAATGCTGATGGCTTCGGCTATGACCAACGTACGCATTCTAATACATTTGAACCGGTAAGGTGGAACCTGATGAATAATGCGGAATGCTTCACTTGGGACAACAAGATGTTCAGTGTCTATCAAGTGGACGAGAATCGCACTTATGATAGATCCGGAACCATCTTGGTTCAACCAACGCGAATAGTTTTCTTTCATGTGATAGATAACCACCGACATAGAATGCGTCACAGACGCATCTGAACGAGTAAACAATCGTTGACACGGTCAACATCGGTAGCTTATCCTTATTCTGTATAGTTATCAGTGGCGAACGTTTGAAAGAGTAGTTTCGGTGCGCGAAGGTAAAGGTGGCTTTTACCGCTCCATTCAGTCGTCTTATGAGGGTTTCGGCGGCATCTGCACCATTGAAAGGAAGAGTAACGAGCACGTCTTTCTTTTCCACCCCATCAGTGTGTACTTTTGACACCTGTTTAATCATATTTCGTCGAATGCAATAGTCTGGGTAGCAATTGTTTCTAAGTATGTTGAAAATAGTATGTGTTCATCTTCCAGCATTACTTGTGAGCAGATTCCTCGAGCACCAGATATCAAACATTTTATCAGTTTCCTCCTCAGCCTAATTGGGACATAACTGTAAAAATGTGTGTATTGGTCACTCCATTTTTGCTTACGGTACGTCTTCTGATGAGAAGTACATCTAGAATTGGTATTTGATCATCTGCTTCTACCTCGCATGTAAATTTTATGGCTTTGTGTGCGGTGTTGAACTTTTCAAGCATTTGATCCAGTTCGCAGTTCAAATCAACTGTACAAAATGCGTTGTCTACAAACCGACAATATTTATGAAGACAATTTCTTAAACACATGAAGAGAAAAGGTAAAACCACACCAGACTGAACAACAAATCACGGGGTTATGGAAGCGGCTCAGTCAAGAGGATTGCATAAGCAGTGAGCTTTTTGAACGCATAATACATGCCGATTCATGCATTTCGAATTTAGATGGTTTATCAAAAATCCACGAAGCTCAGGTTCCACTTCGGCCCATTCTATTGATGACAAATTCTCCATATCATACTGTCGTGTTTACAGCCCTTCAAAAGGTAGAAAACGATTGCATTACACTTTTGAAGGTTTATTCCAAGGTTCCATCAGTCCACAATTTCCGTTAAAACAGTTTGCTGATAAATCCGGGATGAGGAGTGGAGGTCGAGTAAGCCAAACATAACATTATCCGTAAACGTAAAAGGATAGAGGAATTTCTGGCAAGCATAGAAGAAATGTAGGCGGAGAATAGAAATGAAAATAAAACAGCGTTTCTTAACACTCCATGCTTAGCGCACAACAGCAAAAATGGGAAAACCGCTGACAGCTTATCTATCCCAACCAACGAAGCTCTTCTTCTAGCGTGTCCTCACTGCAGATCTTTCTTGTCCTAGCGAATAGAAGAGCTCCGTACTGTAAAATCGATTTTTGCACGTAACGGATATCGGGAGCGTTTAGTCAACAAGATGATTCAGTGCCCGGAAAACTCTTTACAAAACACTGAGGTTAAGAAAAAAATTCTTGTACATATCTTTACCGATCAAAGTGGACACATCAGCCGAGATCATACAAAGAAGATTATCTGACGCAATCGATAAGACTTTCTATGCATCTAAGCTTCTGTAATGATCGTAGAAGTAGTAGTAGTGAAATTACGCACAGAATTCAGGACGTGAGCTACAAAATAGGAATCACGGAGCACGAATTAGAAAACCGGTGGTACTGGACCGCAATGTCTTGAACTCGCAATAACCCCCAGAATCGAGACGCGAGGAAAAAGGCCACAAGACAGGCGAATCACTAAGTCATTTATTAAAGGAAATGAAAGTGAATATATATTTACACAAGAAAAGATCATTGGCTACCTTAGTTTTCACCAATCATATTGCATCACATCTTGCGTCATACTGCTCTTCTCTGCATTGTATCTGATTGGCTGGAACGGTCCACCAATGACGTGTATCCGGAGGCTGTGCACGTGCTACTGGCGTCAGCGCTCAAGGTCGATTGACTACCAATGTCCGGAAACTGTACCGCACTGCTCCAGGGCAGGCGTGATCTCGTAGATCCGAATCACTACAGCTTCGTTTGTTGTTCATGTCCATGCCAATTGT